GGGCCCGCGCGCCGCGGCGCGGCGGGGGCCCGCGCGCGGAGCTCCGCAATCTTTGCCGGCGGCTCGACAGCGCCTTCAGTGAGCGTCGCCGGGCGGCCGTCTTCGGCGCGTGCAGCGGCCCTCCTGGGCGCGCGCCCGCGTTCCATCGCCTCTTGCAAGAGTGGCGAGCTGCTCGCGCGGTCGCTGCTATTTCGTTCCGGCCCGATTTTGTCCGAATCATATCTCGCACGTCGAGCTGGCTTGTCAGGTTTGCGGCTTTCCTGTAGACGTATTTCGCGATGCGCCCCATCGCCGCGCCAAATATGCGGCCCGCAACTCGGCGCCTTCCTGCCCGGGGTATCTCTATTCATCCGGGAAGACGCAGTTTGCGCTGCTGAAGCATTCGAAAGAGCGGCATGAGTCTGCTGTCTTTGCTCAGCTCCTCCTTGTCACGCACGTGTTTCCTCCTGCGCCTCCCTCCAGAGACATTGGGCTTTTCGTTCGACGGCGTCGCCTGTCACCGGGGCGCAGGGGTTTCTATCATTTTGCGCGGCGGCCTCCTGCAGCTCAAATTGGCTCGTCGCAGTAGCAAACAAGTCGGTTCGGTGCTGCAGCGGGCGCACCGCGACGTGCCCAGTTCGCGCGCTTGGCGCCTGGCCCGCGGGTCTGCCCGTGGGCACCAGGCAATTGTCGGGCGCCAGCGCGGCGGGCCCGCTGCGCGCCGCGCTTTTTCCTCGCCGAGATCAGCGTCAAGGACGCGGCGCTCCATCGCACTTATGACCTGCGGCGCGGGCACGCATTGGACCTTCAGCAAAGGGGAGGTGACTGGCGCGAGATCCTCCAAGCGGGCGAAGAGGTCCTCGACCGCCTTGTTGTCGTACCTCGACATGGCGCACCTGGCGGGGTCTGAGGACGACCTTGACTTAGCGCTGGCGCCCCAGGCGTTGCGCGCTGCCCTGGCGCGTTCGCCCCCGTCGCTGCGCGCCGCGACATCGTGGCGCCGCCGCGAGCGTCGCCCGATTTCGCGAGGGATGCGCGCGCCGCGCGCGTCGCCGTTGCGCGGGGCACCAGCGCGCATCAGCTAGTGGTGCTTGCGTGCCTGGCGCCCCGCGCGTCGGCTCAGACTGGCGTCGCCAGGCAGGGCGGCGCGGGGGGTGCCGCGCCCCTTGTCGAGCGAGCGAGGCACCTTCGGGCGCGGGAGGCTGCCGGCGCAGCTGAAATGCGTGGTGGGCGCGAATCGCCATCGAGAGCGCGCGCCCGCACTTGGGCTGCGTTGTGCGCGCGTGCCCATTTCGCGCCCGCGCCTGGCTCGCGCGCCGGCGGGCGAGCGCGCGCGGGCCGCCCCCCGCTCGTCTGCGCCTCGCGGCGCGCGGCCCCGCGTGAAGGGCTCGCGCGCGCGCTGGGGGTGGCGGCGCGCGCGTTGCTGCGAGCGGCTCCGCGAGAAGGGTCCGCGCGCGCACGGGGCGACGGTCGTTCTTCTGCTTGCGTTGCGTTGCGCGCTCCGCGCAGGCGCGCCGTGGGCCCCGCCGGGGCGGGTCGCGGCGCGCCCTGGGGTCGCGCGGGTCGCGGGCAATGGCGCCCGCGCGCGAATTCAGGATAAGTCATAAGTGATCAGGAGAACATCGAAGCGTAGGAAAAACGCGTTTTCCATTGTTTGAAGATTTTGTTTCCTCTCCAGATGTGTCTGATTTTCTGATTTTCTGGCCTCGGCAGAGATTGGCCAACTTGCGCAGTCTCTGCCAGTGATCAGACACATCCAGATAATCATAAAGGAAGCATGAAACAACCAAAGCGTTTTGGATTCCCTTCAAAACACAGTGTTGAGCCATGAGATTTGACTTAGTTTCTTATTGTAATAAGTTTACGACGATCTAATTATAGTTCGAACTGAGCTGATCATAGATCCGGCTGGCTTTCCAATCCATTTCGTTTGACTTCGAATTGAACTTTCATTTGAAGCGATCAGACAGATCCCAGGCCCAGGAGATTTGTCTTTGGTTCCTTTTTGCATGTAAAAACAATCTGAACAGTATTGAGCAGATCACAGATCCAGGCTGACATGGGCCTCGATTGAATCGACTTAACATCTACTTCAATATCAGCAGATGCCAGACCCAGGATATTTGAATTATTTTCCTTTTGAAAATTCGATCGAATCTCATTAGAGTTAAAATCCCAGATCGATTTGGCTCCCTTTTTTTGTGGACAAGTAAGATTACGCTGGAACCTTGCTTACAACTTTCCAGAATTGAGATCCCAGGTCCAGGAGATTTGCATTGATTCATCTGGTAATTCTCAAATAGTTGGATTTCGGCAGATCACGTACCCAGCTGGTGTTACATAGATTTCGATTGAGCTCGACTTGACATCTACTTGACATAAATTTGAATTGTGTTCGTATAATGTACGAGGTACAATATACGCAGAATTGTGCGGATCACAGGTCAGCCGATTTTAAGCAGAGTTCGATTGGGTTCCAATGACAGTTTTGTTACACTTAGGCAGGTTCCAGATCCATGAGAATTGGATTGGGCTCATCCTGTAATATGAACAGAATTGACTTAGTCTAGGAGATCCCAGGTCTCGCTGGTTTCAATCGAGTTCAATTGAATTCGATATAACGCCTAGGGCACATTCCAGATCCAGGGTATTTGAATTGGGCTTATCATTGTACTTGAACTATACTCTAGTTAGAATTGTGCAGATCAGAGACCCTGCTGGTTTTAGATAGATGATGATATGTTTTTTTTATCACATTCACAACAGCATTTGGCAGATCACATTTCCAGGAGATTTGACTTGGGCCCCTCTAGTCTTTACGCTGAAAACATAGTTTTTGGGTCCGTTCTATTTCACACCTAATTATAATCGTACAGATCCCAGATCAATGAGATTTGATGTCGGCTTCTACTGGGGGCTTAAATGGTGTTTGTTTGGGTTGAGGATCTCAGAGACATAGCTGATGTTGCAGAGGTTTCGATTGAGTGGTATTTTGCGACCCCATTCAAATTTAACAGGCGCCAGGTCCAAGAGGCCTGCTTCTGGGTCAGCTTGACACTTCGATATAATAGACTTCGAGTGGGGCAGACAACGGATCCATGTGATTATTGAGCAATGTGTGATCGACTTCTACTCAACATACCGTTCACATTGAGCAGGCCCCATGCCCAGAAAACTAGACTTGTGCTCTGAATGTGCTTGATATAGAACCAAATCAGAGTTGAACAGGCCACAGATCCAGCATTTAAAAATCGGCCCGGCTTGAGTTTTCATTTACATGTATTTAGAATCGGGCAGACCCCAGGCCCATGGGATTTGATTGTGGTTGTTATTGCAACTTACATGTAGTCGATTTAGATTTAGGCACATCACAGATCCAGCTGGTTTTAGATAGATTTCGGTTGCATTACCATTTTAATTCATGTAGAATTGAGCAGATCACCGTTCCATGGGATTGGAATTCACTTCCCAATGTAACTCACATCGAATACAGGTAGAACCTGGTTGAGCGCAGCCCCAGCTGATGTTGAATAGATCCCGATTGAATTCTAATTGAAATCTAATTAGAAGCGAGTGAACATATCCTAGATCCAGGATGTTGCAGTGGGGGTTCCTCTTGCGACAGCATAAAATCGAACTAGAATCGGACATGCCACATATCCAGCTAATTGCACATTGATTCAATTGAATCCTATTCCGAATATCATCAGGATTTGGCAGATCCCCGACACGGGAGATTGGAAATTGGTTATGATTGGAATAGAAATCAAATTTCATTTGAATTGAGGAGATCACAATTCCAGTTGGTTTTAAACAGATTTCGTTTGATAGAACTGAGCAGATTACAGATCCTGTTGTGTTCAAATAGGTTTCGATGGAATTCTACATCGAATATATTCAGAACTGGGCAGATCACACATCCAGGATATTTGACTTGAGATCCGGTTGTAGCTTCAATATATTCGAATTAGAGTTGGACAGATCACAGATCCAGCCGGTTTTGAACAGATCCCAATCGAATTCGAATTAAAAACCAGTCAGAAGTGAACGAATCACATATCTATGATATTTGCATTGAGTTCATGGTGCCATGTTAAGTAGACTTGAGCAGATCACATATCCAGCTGATTTAAACTATGTTCGATTGAACTCTAATTAAGATATAATGAGATTCGGTCATATCCCAAATCCATGACATTTGAATTGGATTCCGAGTGTAATCTAAGTCGGATTTTCAGCCACTTGGGCAGATCACAGATCAAATTGATTTAACATAGATGTTGGTTGAATTCTAAGTACAGTCTAATTCGATGTGAGCAGTGCTGAGCAGATCCCATATCCAGGAGGTTTGAATTGGGCTTCTAGTGGAAATTAGATGGAATTGAATTGTAATTCAACAAATCACATTTCCACTTGATTTCGAATCGATTTCGATTAATTTCAATCGGAATTTAGCATATCCCAGATCCAGGAAATTTCAATATGGTTCCTACCGATCTGTTTAGAATTGAGCAGATCCCAGGTCCAGGAGATTTAAATTGGGGTTCTGTTCTAACTGAAACCGAGCTAGAATTGAGCAGGCAGGTCACAGACCCAGCTGTTTAAAACTAGATGTCGATTGAAGCCGAGTTATAATATCATTAGAACTGGGCAGATCAAAGATCCAGGATCTGATGTAGGTGCTGATTGTACTTTAAATATAATCCGTTTAGATTTGAGCAGGTCACAGATCCAGCTGATGTAACATTGATTTCGGGCTCATTCTAATTAGTCTTGAAGTAGGAGCTCCGGCGGTCAACCGTTTGAATTGCAATCGACTGAGACGACTAGCTGAATAGCAAGAGGAGGCAGAAGAGCAATAGGAGGAAGACGAGCAGGATGATGCACCCCCCCCTCACCCCAATCCGTTGTTTGGGGGTGCTGGGCGGGGGCGAGCATTCATTCGTGCGTCCCTGGGCCCCTTCATTCAGATCGTCTTCGATATTATCGTCTTCTTTAATGCCGCCCCCCGGGCATTCCAGGACAGGGCGCTGGACCCGGCGGCGAAGGCGCGGTTGCTGTTGCTGTTCTTGGCCTCGCCGGAGGGCGCGGGCTGTTCCGAGGCCCTGCCGCGTCGTCCTCGACGCCGCGGTGGGTCGTGGCCGCCGTCGCGGCCGCCGCTGTCGCCGTCGCCCGAAAGAGAAATTGCACCCTTGGCGACAGAAGACACGGACAGCTCTTCAGAGTATTGAAGAGAGATTGCGTGCATCAGTGCTGAGACAAAGTCTGATACGAATACCAACACAGAAGCAATAATCCCGACACGAAGGTAGCATCAAGACGAAGACTGAGAATCATCGTGCAACTCCTGATGTTCATTGTAACACCTTTATGTGATACGAATGCACTACTAGTTCTGATGCCAGACAATCATCAAGACTCAGACTAACATCATACTGATATTCTCAGTCATCGCCATACACTGACGGTACTAATTCGATGGGAGGCAACGGGAGACCACGAAGGCCGCCGGAGGCCACGGGAGACCACGGAAGACCAAGTCGCCCGACCGATTCCAGATCTGGCGATCCCCGTCTTTGGCTTCTCAGAAGAATTCTAGACGCTTCACGTATCCCCACGAATACCTTTTCGGACGCCTCCTGCGCTTTCGCTCGCGGCCGCGACAAAAAAATATATCCCCACCAATCGGCCCGACTAGTGTTCGGACGGCTTTCGACCCGCCGCGCGAGCCTGTTGATTAATAGTATGCCCACCAGTTGGGTTCGTAGAGGAGGTCGATGTCACAGTTGGGCCTGTACTTGGTTGTCCCAGGCTTCTGAGCTGCGTGAAAGGCCAGCTGCGTAGCTGCAATTTTCGCTGCCCGTTCGCTGCCCTCGCTCGGCCTCGGCTCTGGCCCTGTAAAATTCAGGAGGGGAAAAAACACACAGACACAATTAATCGTCGATTCCCAGGAAAATATGGGAAAATATGGGAAGTGGGGGGGAAGACAAAAACCCAGAAAGTATGAGAAAATATGGAGATTTTTTTATTTGTGTGTATTTATTTGTGTGTTCCAGTTCCCCTTCAAAAATGTAGGTTTTAGGTCGCCACTTCCGGCCAGCTGCCCGCCGCCTCGCTTGCATTTTTCGGCGCTCGCCGCCCGCTGTCGTGCTTGGCTTCGGCTTGGCCTTATTTTAGGGTTTCGCACGTTTCCACGTCGCTGCGCGGCCCTCCCGCTTGCGGTCGCGAGCAAAATAAGTATCCCCACCAGTTGCGTCTACGAGACTGTGGTCTGCGTTTTCTGCTCGCTCGCGGTGTCGATCAACCAGTATGCCCCGCCATTTTGGCGATGCACCCCGCCTGGCAGCTTGCCCCAGTCGACGGCTCCCTCTCCTGAGCGGCACCGAGGCCCGCCTCCTGTTAGTTCCTCCTCCGCTGTCTCCTCGTTGCCCGCTTCTCCCCCCCTGGTGCGCAATTCGCTCGTAGCCCGATGCTGCGACCTTGACGGCGTCCGGCTCCTCCAGCGCGCTCGCGATCAAACAAATCCACGCCAGCCCATCCAGAAACGATGTCCAGGCGAGTTGAGGCGATCAGAGAAGTGCGGGAGCAAAGAGGTGGACGGCAGAAGCGTGCGAAGGAGGGAGGAGGAACAAAAAGGAGGCTGGATGGAAAAATGAGGGAATGGGGAACATGAAAATGAATAGGGTTATGAATAGACGGAGGAGGAACAGGAAGATAACGAATAGGAGGACGAAGGAGGAGCAGGATGGGGAGGGCAAGCAAAAGGGCAAGAGGTCTCTTGGATGCGTTTCGGAGCCTCTTGGGATGTCTCTTGGGCGCTTTTTGGAGGCCTCTTGGGACGTCTTGGAGGTCCGTCGGCGGTCCTGGGGGGGGGTTTGGGCGTCTTGGGTGCGGGGTGGCCTCTTGGGGCAACTTGGGGTCCTCCTGGGGGCCTCCTGGGGGCCCCATCTTGGAGCCATCTTGGGGCCTCCTGGGCGCCTCTTGGGGCCATCTTGGAGGACATCGATCAAAGAAGGGGAGGTTCTTAATTCGCCCCCCCTCGTGAGCCCCCGCAATCACCTCCTGGGCCCCTCTTTAGCATTTTTGGAGCGCTCTTGGGCGTTTTTGGGGCCGTCTTGAGGCTCTCTTGGGTCTCTCTTGGGGCCCTCATGGGCCCTTGGAGCTGCCTGGAGGCTTCGGAATGCCATCGGACGCGAAAAGGCGAGAAGGCAAACTTGACTGGTTTTCTCCGCGGAATCGCGCTGGCGTTCCATGATCGAACTGGGCCGCGCAGAGCCTACATCGATGATGATAGTTTGACATCAGGGCGCTAGAACCAGAACGGTTGCGGATGCATCAAACGATCAAACATAGACCCGCGTGATACCCGATGGTAACGCCCGAGTCGCTTTCCTAAAAATGTATCCGTAGCACATGCGGCGCACGGATTCGGGGGGTGTGTTTGTGTGTTGCACTCCTCCTTTGGCCCTGGGCTTTGCCAGGCTCATCTTCCTGGTTAGAAGCCGTTCTGCGAAACTCTTGCACACACAAGATCTGGTACCTGTGCCCGCGCCTCAGCGCTGGGCTTCATCTCCCCGCGCCCTCGAGCACCTGGCGAGGAGGGTCCTTTTCAAACAGGCGACGCGCGCTTCAGCACGGCGCGTCGAGCGTAGGCAGAGTGGTGTGGCTGCACCACTCAGCAGGTCCTCGATCATCTGCGCCTTCAGCTGTCCTCGGTAGGTGCCCGAGCGCAGGCACTCCGCGCGCAGCCCCGCCGCACTCCACGTCCAGTAGTGCTTGATCGGCGTCGTCTGCGTGTGCCTGCTGATGCCGCTCTCCACGATCGCCAGATGCTCCTCTCTCGGTGGGGCCTCCACTTGAGCGATCTGGTCGTCGTCGTCTCTCACCAGCTTCCAGGGGCCCTTCAGGAGCCGCATCGGCGCCTTGCACACACGGTAGCCAATCCATGCGGACAGTAACGCGACCGCCAGCGTCGATCCGAATATCACCGTGATAGCCGTCGCCCAGACCTGCTCCATCGCAGTCGGGCTGCTCATTTCCATCGCCGCCTGACTCGTTGGGACCATCTCTGTTCCTTGAACTCCGCCCAGTATTGTTGCCGCCAACATCGCTCCGAACACCTGCGTGCGCCCTGAGGGCGGCGCCCGAAGTGGAAGCATCTCCAGCTGCTTCAGAAATCTCGGTCCCTCGAGCGGCTTGGTCTGCATGTCGGCCCTGTTCTTGTCCGTGTGGACCTTCGCCATCGAGATCGTCTTGTCCCTGACCTTTTCCTGCGCCCAGAGGTACTTCGTCTTCAGGTGGCGCACCTTTCAGCTTCCCAAGCGCGATGCGAAGCCCTTGGCCCCCGAACTGTCCGTTCTCACTTGCACGGTCATCTCGGGCCCCATCTCCAGCCTCACGTTCCTCAACCAGACGCCCCTCGCCGAGCCGTTCACGATCCTTGTGAACTCCGCCTCCGCGGTGCTCAGCGCGCGGTTGCCCTGTTGGCCGCTCCAGCCGTCGAGTAGGTGCGAGCCAGTGAATGGGAATCCTCCGCCCACGGGCCTCCGACCAGGCTCGGGCGCCCAGTCGCTGTCGACTTCCACCGCGATCACCGTGGGCATCGAAGAAGAGCTCGAACTGCGGGCGCTGCTCCAGGTAGCTCGCCAGTCGCTGTAGTAGTAGCTAGTGGTGCCAGGTGGGCGCGACCATGCCCCTCACGAGGTATCACATGGCCTGCTAGACGTCGAAGCGGTCGTGAGCCACGTACAGGGCAGTGGGCGCTGTGCTGCGGTAGGTGGCCGCGTACTCCGTGCTGAGCTCGTCCGATGACTCCCTGCAGTCCTTCCCAATGGTTTTGGAGGAGGGAGTGATCGCCCGCTTCGTGCTGCTACTCTCACCGATCTTCGTGTTGAGCATGGTTCTGAACATAATCTCCACGTGCTTGCGGCCGTGCTGGATGCCGAACCCTTCGGAGCACCGCGTCACCGTCCGCTTGGGGAAGCTCCCTGACTCGACTCCTCCTTGCCTGGGGCTGCCTACCCTCGGCATCACCTTGACCTTGAAGTGACCCTTCACCAACTCGTCGAGCCAGTCCAGAGATTCCTTCCTTCCTCCTGGCGGGAAATCATCCCTATGAACGATCACCATCAACAGCCTCTCCTTCTGGTAGGAGGCCTGCGCCGTCACCTTAATGCGCGTGAATCCGCCCTTCTCCATGACCTTTTATGATTAGGTTCTGGAATAGGAACGATGCCCGTCTCGTGCCGTAGAGCGCACGCTTCAGCTGGTACATGATGCACTCTGGCGCCTCTCCGCGAGGTGGGACCACGTGGATGTCTCGAAGCGCTCGTCGTCGACCCACTTCCCACGGGCGCGCTTGCCCTTCGCAAGATTATTGGGCACTCTGTCGAAGACCTGAATCTCTTCCGTCTGCCTGAGCTCATTCTCTCTGCCTCGCTTCGCCAAGGTGGGATCCAGCCTCTTCCCAGATCTCGCCCCGGAGAGATTCTGGTAACTCGCCTCGCGGTCGTAGAGGCCTTGCTTGTCGATGTCCGTCGCGTCGTCGTGGGGGACGGCGTCGCATGTCAGCGCGAGAACTGCAGTCGCCATTTTCACGAACAGACCTGCGATAACCTTCTGCTTCGGCCCGCGTTCTGCCTCCGTCAGGGTGCCGTTGCAATCCATCTCGATCATGCCGAGCTCCATGCCGTCCTGCTGCGGCAGCTCCGCGGCGTCCTGCTGCAAGGGTCTCGAAGGTGCGTCCACCTCCAGCCGCCGTCTGCGGGGTCGCCCTCCTTGGTCGGCCCCTGTAGCGGGTTGTGGGTCCTGTGCTGCGGCTGGAGGTGGTATCGGTTCAGGTTGTGCGGCACCAGGCCCTGGTTGGGCATGTTGCTCTCCCTTGGGGGTGCGGCGGCAGCTGCAGATGCGGCTGCTCGAACTGCTGCCTCTTGTTTCTCCTTCTCTTCATCGGCCTTCGTCAAGCCCTCGATGTGCTCTCGGCAGGCTTTGGCCCGTGGGTGGCCGAGTCCGTGGCAGCCGTCACAGCCAGGTGTAGGTCACACTCGATCAATGATTGCTCTCGTGATATAACGACGGTGCGGTGGAGGCGGCGCTGCCTCTGGTCCCGCGCGAGTGCCCCATGGCGTGCACTCGACCTTGTTGAACAGGCTCTTGGACCAGCGCTGCTCCTCCACGCGTCTGTTGATGGTCCTCGCCGTTTCCCTGCCAGCAGCGGTCGCCAAGAGGTGCTCGTCCGTGCGGTTGTCCTCCCCGACCCGGCATGTTCTGGATTTTGTACATCACCGTCTCGCCGAACTCGCAGATAGCTTCTTCGAGAGCGCGGCCTTCCAAGTGCTGGTACGGGGCGAGGCCATCCTCCTTGACTGGGTACCGCGGCAGGATCCAGCCCGCGCGTCGAATCGCCCAGCCCATGATCCAGTGTTTCAGCGTGAGTTTGGCGCTGTACCGAGGCTCGATCGATACCCTCAAAGTGCGGAGCATGCCCTCGACCATCATGTTGGTGTTCTCGATCGTTCCCTTGATATTGGTTTCTCGCCTGGGCCCACTGGGGGGCGGCCCCCTCGTCTCGAGCCAGCTGCACGGCTCGGACTGGCGCCTGGATGGCGGGCTCGCCATCGGCGCCGAGAAGAACACGGCTGAGGCCCCACATGCGCATCGCCGCTGACGTCACTGCCACGGCGTAGTTTGCAGGCCCCTTCGTTGTCATCTGCGTGCTCTTGATCGCTCACGATTGGTGCTCCAGGATGTTCAGCACCGTGAGCGGGTCGCCCTCGACGTCCCCCAGGAACAGGTAGTCGATGCAGAGCAGGCACCATCAGTGCATGAGCCGATGCTGATCTCGGACTGCTCGATCTGGCATCACTGGGATCCCACTCGCCCTGGCCGTTGCTGCCTCTCCAGAGACCCGTAGTAGCGCTCCGTCCTCACGTTGCCGTCGCACTCCTTCACGCTGATCTCCCTCGTGGTCGGGTTGATCGTGGGCGTCCCCAGGAGCAGGTGGTGCCGGTGGAGGTGGCATCGCCTCCGATGCTGCGGGCTCTGCTCCAGGCTCTACATCTTCTTCGTCGGCGGGTGCCTCGCGAGGTACGGCTCGCGCCGCAGTGCTCGGTTGAATTGGGTTGACGAGGATAAGCTCGGTGACGTTCTCGACAGGCCTCCAGATTCTGATCCAGAACGTCTTCCCGCTCCTGCACAGCCTGATCTTGCGGCCGTCCGTCAGCAGGATGTAGGGGTCCTTGCCGAGGATCGGAATGTGGCCGCCCTCGGTAAAGGTATCCACGCTTACGGTGGCGTGCTTCGCGTTCGCCACCTGGGACTCGATCTGCAGAGGTATTCTATGTTACGCGCATTTGGGGTTCCAGAGCTCGCTGCGCGCGTAGCGTGGCCGACCCGCGCACGGCCGCGCGTGCGTGGCCGTGCCCCCGCGGCGCGGCCACGCATGTGCGGCCGTGCCGCGGTGCTTGGCCGCGCGCGTCGGCCCAGGCAGCGCGGGTGGCCAAAGCGCCTTTGCGGAGGGAAGGTGGGGATGAGATGGGGGGGTAGGAGTAGTGGGTGCGGCAGCGGCAGGAGCAGGAGGAGGGGCGCGATGAGGAGGAGGAAAAGGAGGAGGAGAGGAAACTGGCAGCAGACAAAGCGGAACATCGACACGTGGAGAGGAAGCGATGAGGGGGCGACGGAGGACGGCGAGGAGCAGCACTCGCAACTTGCGGGGCACGAACGTGCCCTTGTTCCCCGAGAGCAGGGGCAGAAGCAGGAGGAGGAGGAGGAGGGGGGGGCGGCCCAGGAGGAGGGTGGGCAGGACAAGTCGGACAAGGAGGAGGTGGGCCAGGAGGAAGGAGAGGGGGAGGAGGAGGAGGAGGAGGAAGAGAAGGAGGAAGGGGAGGAGGAGGCAGACGAGGGACGACGACACTTTGCAGGGCTGGGGCACGGTCGTTGCCCATGCAACGACGTTGCGCATACATGCTGCAGCCGTGTCGGTTCCGAGCTCGCGCGGCGGGGCGGCGGGGCCGTGCGTGGGTCCCTTGCCGTTTGGGCGGCGGGCGGCCCGTGTCTCGCGCCGCTGTGGCGGCTGCCGCTGCGTCGGCAATGCCTTCGCATCGGGAGTTCTTCCACTCGTGCACGTTCGAAGCGGAAAGCGTGCGCGCGTGGAAGGCGGTCAGAAAGGCGTTCGCGTCAGACCGTATATTGACGAACAGAACGGCCAACTGGGCTTCGGATCACTGGGATGATTCTGTCCGCAGTGTGTGGGCACGGTGGCTCAATGCTGCAAGCTCGGCGCCAGCTCGGCTCGCCTTCAGCCGCCTGCTCGAGGAGTACTTGCGGGACACTCCGCATTGGAACCGCTGGCAGGTGGTCGGCCATCCGGCCGAGTACAGCCCTGTAGGCGCGATGCCCGTCGTTTCGGCGGCGCTCGGCGTTGCGCCCGGCGCTTCAGACAGCGCTCCTGGTGAGGAGATGGCGTTGGCCGTTTCGGCGGCCAGCGTTGCTGCGCGGCGGGTGTGCGGCTTGGTCTGGAGTGGCGGGTTCGCGGCGTTGCCGCGGCGCGCCGCCCACCCCTTGGGCGAGTTGTTGGGGGAAGGCGTTCGGCGACGACTTAAAACGCGCGCCCCCGCGTCTAGTTTCATCGACGTTGGGGCGAAAGAGGGGCGACTGCCCTTTCAAGACCGACGGCCGTCGAGGGGGCGGCGGAAGGTCAACGAGCGGTCGTTTGCGACGGGGCTTCGAAGGGCGCGCGAGGGGGGCAACGAGAATGTCGCGAACCGACCGCTCGCTGACCGCGGGGGCTCCTCTGGGGCCCAGGCGCGGGCCATGATCCAGGTCTCGAGGGGGGGCGCGCGGTCAGGGGTTGCGGGGGCGTGCGTGGGTGCGCAAATGCTGGATAGGGTGCGCGAGGGTCGGTCCACGGGAGAGGTTCGCGGGCCACGGAAGGGGTGCCTGGAGCGCGGCGGACCACCGAACGCGGGGTAGGCGTTCGCGCCACAGAAGGTTTTGAGGCGGTTTGCTTGTCTGCGGATTTTTGTTGTGTCTTGTGAATGAAGCACATCCCTTCTGGGCGTCTCCCGCGTCGCGGTCCGAGCGCAAACGACGTGGATTTTGAGAGGGCCCCGTCGACGCATTGTTTTCGTTGGTTGTTGCGGCGCCCCGCAGGAACAGACGGCGAGGTTTTTGCAGTCGCTGGGGCGTCGGGGGAGATGGCGGCTGCAGCGGCGGGGGGCGCTGCTTCGGCGAGGGGGCCTCAGGCCGTTTCGGCGGCCAGCGAGGCGCTGGCCGCTTCGGCGGCCCGGGCGGGGTTCAGGCTGGTTGTCAAGTGCTTGCGTCGAGACGACCTCGAGGACCACCCGCACTTACTCCAATGTCTGCGCGAGGTTGCTGTGCGCGACGCGTTCCACGCCCGCCTTCATTTGACGTAGTTGTTGGACGTGTTTGCTGATCAACGCAAGCGGGTCGGTCTGGTGCTGGAGCGCGCGGGCACGGACCTTCATGCGTTAACTGGGGCCGCGACGCGCCCGGTGGGCGATTGGCTGTGCCAGGGGCGCATCCGTTTTATATGTTTGGTGTTTTTTCCCCTTCGTACCAGCGGGTGCATTCCCCGCTTCCTTTG